TCTTTCCTTATGAAAGTCACAGAATAATATTTTTTATGTTAATGAACAGATGGATTTGCAGAGGATTCAATATCTGGCCATTTGGGGCTCCTTTTTCATGTTGTTTTACCCTGGATGGATTTTTCAGCACATACTTCATATCCTTTCCTGCTGCGTACCCTTCTGCATGGGTTTCCAAACACATATAAGCAGATGCAAATGTACCACACGCACACACGCACATACACATACACACTTAATATTATAGATTTTTGCTTATATCTTTTAAAATGGCACATTACTTTAAATGTGATGCCTTTTTTTCTATAATAATATATCAGGAACATCCTTATGGGAGAACATGTTTGGGTCAGAGTGTTTCCTTATTGGTTTTGTAATATTCCATAGAATGGATGTCCCAGACCAAATTCAAACATTCTCATATCAATGGGCAGTAAGTCTGTTTCCAGTGCATTTATTCAGGTGGCTTTTCCTCTCAGCTTTCCAGCTTACCTTCCAAGTGGGAAAAAGTCTGAATCAGAGAGACTTGGACCCCAAAAGAGGTATAACACAGACGTGGACATGGACCGTAAATCCCACATGGCTGCCACTGACTTGCTGTATGGCCTTGGATAAGTTCCTTTACCTCTGCAGATTTCAGCTGAAAAACAAGTTGTGGTGTCCCTACTCCAAAGGGCACTTGTGCAGATTCATGAAACAATGCATGTAAATGCACTTGGTCCAGTGCACAGCTCAGAGGAAGTGCTCAATTTGTAAGAGCAGACACTGTCACCCAAGTGTGTCAAACCATATGATGCCTGGAAACTGGACAGGGAGCTCTCTGAAGGAAGGCAGGACCATGCCACTCCGCTCATGAATCTCTGGTGCCCAGCAGAGTGTCTGGCACACGGTCCCAGGCTCAGAAATATGGATGAATGAATAGAATGACAACGTGGAAATCCTCGTTGTTGGCAATTGGCCCCTCTCTTTATGTACCTTTGCTCTAAGTCCAGCCCATCCACACGGCCCAATGTGATGGTCACAGTGTGGTACGTCCTTGGAGCGGTATGTGGACTAGTCAGGACAGGTGCCAGCTAGCAACCTCAGCTCTGCACACTCTGAAAAATCCAGGCCCTCGAGTAGATCATGTGGTTACACTACATTCTACTCACAGGAAATAATACAAATTTTTATGGAGACCGTGGTGCTGTTTACAGAGACCTGCCTTGCAATTTTTATTCTCTTAAACTGAACCCAGTTTGAACCTGAGTCTGAACCCAAGCCTGGGATTTTTAACTTCTATACTCTAATGGTCTAATTACATAAACCTGAGAATATCATAGTTATATTATTATACTAAAATCGTGGCAAAAATAATAATGCTAATAATGACTGAACACTCACCTATATGCCAGCTACTGTCCCAAATGCTTTACAAAAATTATCACTTTTAATCCTTTCTTTTGTTATCCCTGTTTAACAGACTGGTAAACTGAGGTACAAACAGTAAAGTAATACACCTGAGGTCACATAGCTAGTAGGAGGCAGTCTAGGATTCCAGTCCAGCTCTTCCCAGAGTTTCCATCATTGACTCTAAGTGATGCTGCTATGATGCTGTATTTCTTCTATAACAGAAAAAACTATGTATGATAAATCTTAGAAACGAATCCCTTCCTCTCTTTCTCCCTTTCATCCCAGGATTGCTACAAAGAGACTGTTCTCTCCCCATTCCTGCCTCCCTAAACGCCTGTCTCTCTCTCCCTGCCTGCCCGCAGCCACCTGTTTTTCATGAAGACCTCCACAGGCTTCCAGGATGGACACATCTGGTATTCCATCTTCAGTGGCTCTGCTCGGAGCAACTTCACCCGCGTCCAGAGGGTGTCCTGCTGTTTCTCCTTGCTCCTTTGCACCATGCTGACCAGCATCATGTTCTGGGGTGTCCCGAAGGACCCAGCTGAGCAAAAGATGGACTTGGGTAATTCCCACTGTCATGGCAGTCAGGGCTAGTGGCTGGCGAACATGAGCCTTCACTGCCCCAGCAATGCCACTGTGATTCTAGAGTCCCCAAGACCACCCTCAAGTTCAGTGATTCACTAGGAGGACTCACAGAACTCAGAGAAGCCATTGTACTTACAGTTATGGTTTACCGCAGCAATAGGATACAGATTAAAATCAGCAAAAGGAAGAGACACATGGGGCAGTGTTTGGGAGAGACCAGGCATGGAGCTTCTAGCTGTCCCTTCCTAATGAAGTCATGGACAGTGCTAACTCCTTCTGATAATGATGTGTGACAATATGCACCAAGTGTTGCCAACCAGGGAAGCTCACCTGAGCCTCAATGTCCAGAGTTTTTATTGGGGCTTGGTCACATAGATATGGATGACCACCCACATGGCTGGCCTTAGCCTTCAGCGCCTCTAAAGGTCAAGTCAACACCATGTGGCCCAAATACCCACCATAAATCACATTGTAACGATAGGCTACCTGGTGTGGTACAAGGCCCTAAGTAAACAAAGACACTCCTATCAGGCAGCATATCCTAAGGGCTTAGAGGTGACCTCCCAGGACCTGGGCAGTCCTTCACTGCACAGCCACCTTCTGGAAGGGGTAGAGGAACTGGGCTCTGGGTAGCTTCCCTTTAACCTCTTCCCTCTCCTTTCCCCAGGTAAAATTGAATTCACTTGGCAGGAAGTGATGATTGGGCTGGAGAGCTCTGTCCTCATGTTCCCCATCAACCTCCTGATTGTTCAGATCTTTCGAAATGCCCGTCCTCAGATCCCTAAGGAGCAGAACCGTGGGAAAGGGGACCGGGGATCTCCCAACCTGACTCCATCACCACAGCCCACGGAGAATGGCCTTCTGACACCCGAAGCAGTGACGAAGGCATGTTCTTAACCTCAGCTAGTATGTGTGTGGTGGGGTCGGGGGGTGCTCTAGCCTTGGCAGAAGTCAGGTGCAGAATGGAACTTGGAGCCTGGTAGCCCCATGTTGTCTAACAGCACCAGTTGACAAGATTCACCAACTAAATAAACACTCACACATGCACACATACATGGGCACACACAGTGCACACACATGTACACAGACACACATATAAGCATGTGCACATATTTGTGCACACACGTATACAGACACACACACACACACACACACACACACACACACACACACTTTTTGAGTACCTGCTATGTGCAAAATATCTCACCCTTACTACAGACTCCCAAGCTGGAAGCCCACAGAAGAGACTCCTGTACTCATGCACTGGATAAGCTCTTGTTGAGCATCTACTATGTGCCATGCTTTGGGGAACACAGCTGGAATGAGTCAGTTCAAACCCTAGAAGGGGGATGTTAGAGGTGATGGAACAGAGGCTAGAGAGGTCAACCTCCTGTCTCAGTGGACAGAGCTGGGCTTCCTGGGGCCTGCTCATGACCACTGTGCTGCCCCCCCCTTGCCTGTGGCTCACGTCCCCTCACCCCACCTGGGCTGCCTTGCAGGATATGTGCAGACTCGTCAGCTCACTGTTTAAAGCTCTGAAGATTCCATCCCCTGCCTTGGGCTGGGACTCTGTGAACTTGATGGACATCAACGATCTCCTGGCCTTGGTGGAAGACATCATTCGTCCACAGAACATGGCAGGGCAGGTGTTCTGGGAGGAAGTCAGAGAAAGAGAGGACCCTTTAACACTCACTCGTGGGTCTACACAACTGAAAGGTAAGTCCTGGGCATTTCTGTGCAAGAAAGGCAGCATTTTGGATCCAGGTGCAGACAGGACAAGGGGACTTGTTTCTATCATTAGGGGGTCAAGAAGTTGTACTGGGGTCTCCCTCCCAGCCTCTGTGTGAAAAGCCATTATTGCCCTCTGTCTGCTGCAGGCACCCGGCTGTCCTCACAATGCCATGCTGCTTTCCCACTAATGGCTTCACACATGCTGGTCCTATAGACTAGAATGTTCTTTCTCCTCTCTTTGTTTGGCCAATTCCTACTCACCATTTAGTATTGACTTAAGTATTCCTTCCTTGGGGGAGCAACCCAAACCTCTCAGCCTACGTTAATCCCTTTGGTCCCAGGCTCTTTAGCCCCTAAGATTCTCCTTGCATTTAGCCTGCTTGTAGCCAGGTAGTGAATCGTGCAAACACCGTCCTTCCTGGACTGTCAGCTCTGTAAGTTGGGAGCCATCCACCCATCTTGTCTCCACTCAGAAGAACCACCTCTGGGTTCTGGCTCTGCCATTGACCAGCTTGTGATCTTGGACAGGTTGCCTCAGTTCTCTGTGCCTCAGTTTCTTACTCTATAAAAGGTTGGAGGATGCAAAGTTGAACCAGATTTGTTTTCAAATGTGTGAGTCAGGACACAAGATGATGCACAGGGCAGGAAAACAGGTTAAAGAACATTGAATCAGAGACTGAAAAAGTTATTTCTTTATTCTCTTTCAGTTCTCCTGATTAAGAAGTCATAGAGAAAATCTCAGTTTGATGCTACTCTGTCTTTAATGCCTCTAACACTTGTTCATCATTCTTTTTTTTTTTTTTTTCTTTTTGTCTTTTTTCGTGACCGGCAACGGATCGCAACCCTCAGTGTTGCGCCCGTACCGGACCGGGACCGGCAACGGGATCGCAACCCTCGGTGTTGCCCCCGCTCCTCGCTCAGCCAGTGAGCGGCCGGTCTGTATGTGGGATCCGAACCCTCGGAGGGAGCGCCGCCACGCTTCGCAAGCGGCGCACTGTAGCAGTGCACCACCGGGCCGGCCCACTTGTTCATCATTCTGTTTGGCAGAGATAGCAGGTCTCAAATTCAGAGCCTTTTGCAACACTATTCAGCTAGAATTTAGTAACATTGTTTCATTTTTATTAAGTTCTATGTATGGCACATTATTCTGGTTAGAACTAGTCTCCTGAGCCTCTCTTGCCCTTTTCTTATCCATCTCCCAACCAGAGCAGCACTGCCCGTGTTTAGAGCAGCGCCATCCAAGAGCTTCCCACAGTGGTGGAAGTGTCCTGTGGCCTTGTGGCTTTGGTGTGGAGTTTGAATGCTACCATCTTTAACATACGAAGCTGGACATAGTCTAAACCCAGTTTGGAACACAAAAGGGGTCTGCAGAATGGGCAATTTGAATTCTTACCTCTCGGCCCCACCTCTGATAGAATAAATTAAATTTTCTGGGGTGCAGAAAATGCAGGCCAAGCATCTGCATTTTTAACCAGTCACTTTGGTGATTTTTATGCACACTGAATTTTGAGAGTCACTGCCCTCAAGAGAAAGTCTCAACTACTTACTGTGGCACTGTAGGCCTTCATGGCCAGGCCCTCACTGATCCATGGTCTTGTCTGTCACTCTGCTCCACCTGACCCCATGCTCCAGCTACTCTGAAGGATTTGCCCCAGAGAGCCAGGTGTGGGCTGTTCATGACAGTCATCCTTGTGGGACTCTGCTGTCCCTGCACTGGACAGTGGGCCCTGAGTTTAGGGGCTTTGGCATTCACAGCTGGACATGCTGGCAGTGAGCCATAGATCTAAAGAACACGGACTCTAGAGTCGGCCAGACCTTTGGGATTTCCCAGCTGCAACAGCAGCTGTGCAACTTTGGACAAGTTGCTCAACCTCTCTGAGACTTAGTTTCCTCCCCTCTAAAATAAAGGTATTGATCCACCTAGCCCTTTGTCTTACTGTGAGGACCGAATGAGATCATAAGATACGTAAAATGCTTAAACCCCATCCTGACACAAAGCAGGTATTCAGTAAATGGTGTTCTGATTGGCAGTGATGGTATCTTCCAGAAACATTAGCAGGAGCCTTGCAACACAAAAGATGTTGAGGCTGGAATCCTTAGCTGAGGCCTCCATGAGGGGGGCACAGGTCAGGAGGGTGAGAGAGGAGGCTTTGAGTCAGAGGCAGGTGGGAGTCCACGTGGCCCCCGGCATTCGCCCAACACTCTGGCCTAGATGATGCATGTACCCAACCACAGCCTACTCTACATGCATGTGTCACAGGTCAGGAGGGTGAGAGAGGAGGCTTTGAGTCAGAGGCAGGTGGGAGTCCACGTGGCCCCAGGCATTTGCCCAACACTCTGGCCTAGATGATGCATGTACCCAACCACAGCCTACTCTACATGCATGTGTTATTTTCTCATTCACCCCTCATTGGGTGACTGGGGGGGAATGATGGGGTGGTGGGGGAGGGGGAGTTCCATGCACCCCTGGGGCAGATGAACACTGATGCAGAGAGGGGCCCCTACTGCCCCAGGAGACCGTGTCCCTGGGCTCCAGCCTCCCAGCATAGGGCCCAGAAGCCAAGGCCGGGTTCTGCCTGTTGAGGCCAAGTTTCTTGTACAAGGCACAGGAAATAGTGGAAATGTTCAAATTCAGTTTTTTCTTATGATGAATATGTGTTACCTCTGTAATTTAAAACAAAAAGATGTTTCCAAAATTTTTTTTGGGAATCTGAAATTTGAACAAACTAACTACAGAAAAACATTCAGGAGATAATCAGGGAAACCCATCACTGATTGGATATTTGGTGCTACAAGGGGATTATCAAGAATCATATTAAAGATTGACCATGCCATCTTGGTTATCTTTTTAAAAAGAGTCCTTATCTTCTATGGAATTATACTAAGTTATTTCATGGAATGATATGAGTTTTAGACTTTGCTTCCAATTAATCCACGTGGAGAGAGGGGGTGCAGGTAAACAGCTGGCCATGAGCTGGTCATTTTGAAGCTGGACAATGGGTACGTGCAGCTTCATCTCAGCACTCTATTTTTGTATGTTTGAAACATTTCATAAATTTTAAAGAAGTTAAAAACACAAGATTAAGACTTACACCGTCTTAGGCATTAGGCAAAACAGGGTTTAAATTTAAATCTTACCATATTAAAGTATTTGCAGATGGGAAAATACTACATCTAGGATTTGCTTTAAAATACCCCAGGGAAGGGCAGGCCAGTTAGCTCTCTTGGTTAGAATGCAGTGCTGATAACACCAAGGTCAAAGGTTCAGATCCTCTTACCAACTAGTAGCCCTCCACCAAAAAAAAGCTAAAATATTCCAGCAGGGGGAAAAAATTGGGGAATAGAGATGAGACAAGATTGGCCAAATGTTGGTGACTGTTGCAGCAGGTGATGGGAATGGCAGTCTCTTCTATCTACATGTAAGGAAAATTTGAAAATGTCCCTGATAAAAGAGAAACATTCAAATCCTAACTGGCTGTGTGACCGTCGCACCTTACCCTGTCTCTTTGAACCTCAGCTGTCTCACGACTCAGCATATAGCAAGGTGCTGGATACTCAAAGGCTGCTGCTATTACTGTGGCTGTTTTTGTTGCAGCTGGTTTGCTGTTACATAGCACCAACTGATTGCTTTCCCTCTTGTCCCCTAGAGAAAATGTGGTGCCCCAAGCCTTACGTGGGGCCGAATGGCCCTTGGAAGGACAATGCCTTCAGGCAGTGTCTCTACTTTCAGCTGGAGCAGGTGGAACAGGAGTTGCGGCTGGTGGGAGCCCAGGGCTTCCCCCAGCACCACAGCTACGCCCGGGCCCTCAGGCAGCTGCAGACCCTGAAGGGCTGCCTGGGGGGACCATCGTGTACCCCAGCCCTGGAACATACCAGGTAATCCATTTCCCTAGGTGCTGGGGCCTGCTGAAAAGGGCATCCTGAACAACCTTAGAAGGATGTCCACCCGACCTTCCAAAGCAGGAATGATTCAGGATTCCTGCAAACATTCAGGCAGGTGGAGTTCAAACAGGGTTATTTCCTGGAAGACACTTCCAGCCTTTTCATAGCACTTTACAGTTTATAACCATTTTAATGTGGGCTGTTTCCTAGCTGTGCACCCTTGAACCTGTCCCTCAACCTCTCTGAGCCTCAGTTTCTTCATCTTTAAAATGGGAATGATAATGCCTATCTTCTGATTTAGACTTAAAACAAAATACATTTTGAAAGATAACCAGTGAAGTTTGAATACACACAGAAATTTGAATACAGTCAGATAACATTAAGGAATTATTAATTTTGTTAGGTGTGACATTGGCATGGTAATTCAGTAAGAAAATGACCATATTTGAGATGCATTCTGAAGTAATTACGGTTGATTTTGTAATATGTCTGGAATGTATTTTTAAATATTCCAGCCAAAAAAGAAGGGAGCGGGGACAGAGTAAATAAATACGACAAGGTGATGATGGCTGCTGAAAGTGATTGATGAGCACCTGGGGGGTTGTATGATGAGAAATTTTCATAGCAAAACATTTTAAAAGTATTACTTAGTACCAGCCTTCGCGGGGACAGAGTAAATAAATACGACAAGGTGATGATGGCTGCTGAAAGTGATTGATGAGCACCTGGGGCGTTGTATGATGAGAAATTTTCATAGCAAAACATTTTAAAAGTATTACTTAGTACCAGCCTTCCATGCTTGCTGTGAGGCATAACAGAGCAAATCTGTGGGAAGCACTTAGCACAGGGACTGGCCACTACTAAGCCCTGAACAACTATCACTGCTTTCATTTAGTAGAATATAGAATAGCTCTTTGGGGTAGGTACAGGTTACAGAAGAGAAAACAGAGGGTCTGAGAGGCCAAAGAGCTTGGCCAAGGTCATACAGCTGTGGGGAGGAGTGGGATTTGAACTTGAGCCCACTGGTGCCACCCTGACTGTGTCCACCCACCCCCCTTTGCAGAGCCTCTCAGATGAGCAGGCCCCCTCGTGGCCTGCCCTGGTGGTGTGTCCTGGTGGGCTGGCTCCTGGTGGCGGCCACCAGCGGTGTGGCGGGCTTCTTCACCATGCTGTACGGTCTGCGCTACGGGCGGGCCAGCTCCCTCAGGTGGCTCATCTCCATGGCCGTGTCCTTCCTGGAGAGTGTGTTTGTCACCCAGCCTCTGAAGGTCAGGACCCCCTCCCAGTCGTGGCTGCTCTTCCCCTCCTGTCAGTCCCCCNCGGTTGATTTTGTAATATGTCTGGAATGTATTTTTAAATATTCCAGCCAAAAAAGAAGGGAACGGGGACAGAGTAAATAAATACGACAAGGTGATGATGGCTGCTGAAAGTGATTGATGAGCACCTGGGGGGTTGTATGATGAGAAATTTTCATAGCAAAACATTTTAAAAGTATTACTTAGTACCAGCCTTCCATGCTTGCTGTGAGGCATAACAGAGCAAATCTGTGGGAAGCACTTAGCACAGGGACTGGCCACTACTAAGCCCTGAACAACTATCACTGCTTTCATTTAGTAGAATATAGAATAGCTCTTTGGGGTAGGTACAGGTTACAGAAGAGAAAACAGAGGGTCTGAGAGGCCAAAGAGCTTGGCCAAGGTCATACAGCTGTGGGGAGGAGTGGGATTTGAACTTGAGCCCACTGGTGCCACCCTGACTGTGTCCACCCACCCCCCTTTGCAGAGCCTCTCAGATGAGCAGGCCCCCTCGTGGCCTGCCCTGGTGGTGTGTCCTGGTGGGCTGGCTCCTGGTGGCGGCCACCAGCGGTGTGGCGGGCTTCTTCACCATGCTGTACGGTCTGCACTACGGGCGGGCCAGCTCCCTCAGGTGGCTCATCTCCATGGCCGTGTCCTTCCTGGAGAGTGTGTTTGTCACCCAGCCTCTGAAGGTCAGGACCCCCTCCCAGTCGTGGCTGCTCTTCCCCTCCTGTCAGTCCCCCTGACCTTGGACTCTGCCATCCCTTTGTTTATCCATACAGCAAACATACAGGGTGCTGCCTCTGCTCAGGCCCTGCAGCAGGAGGGGTAATGAAGATAATCACCGCAGTAACCCACGTGCTCGGACACTCACTCTGGGCCAGCGTTGCACCAAGACACTCACATTTCCTGATCACACCACTCTTAGGAGTGTACTCCCCTCTGTTTTATAGGCGAGAAAAGTTGAGTTAAGAAGTTAAGGTCACAAACATCTTGCTCTCGACCACATGTATAAATAAAACCGTGCTTTCTCAATTCTGAGATGCTTTTGATTGTGAGAGAGGACAGCAGTTCGAGGGAACTTTCCCTTCAGAAAAAACACTGAGCGTTAAATGTTTGTATTTCTGAGATGTAAAATTGCAGAAGAGAACACATTAGAGGAGAAGTTCTAAGCCCAGGCCGGAGCTGAGGGGGAGGGGCACAGCTTCCCATGGGAGGAGTCAGGCAGGAGGCAATTCCTAGGGACCCCCCCGCCCCCAGGAGGAAGGAATACCCAGTTGGGGCATGGGGGCGGGGAGGGGAGCTGCAGATAGGAGGGGATATTCAAAGCGACTATTCTGTGAGACATCGCCCGATCCCCCACCCCCATTCTCCCCTTTGGCCTCTTGTTCTACCCTGAACACCTTTATCACCAGACTCGAAAAACTTCTGATACCTTCTGCCAAGGCTAGGCTCAGAGAACATTAAAAACAGGGAGTCCTGAGACTTTTTGTTTCCCGACCAAACTACAGATTTCTACTATGCTTGTGCGTAGTAGGTGCAGAGATCACGTAACTGATTCATGACTTAATACAGGGAGAGGGATGGCAGGAAGCGGAGGGGGTTGTTCTCATGCTGAGAGATGGGAGCCCTCGAGGCAGCAGTGCAGCAGGGGGCAAGCCTCAGGTGGGTTTGAGGACTTGCCAGTCTCTCCAGTTGGTGGCTGGTGCCCACCAGCCTTGGCCCTCACTCTTCCTAACCACCTCCCGTCTCCACAGAAGAGAGACTGACTTCCCCAGACTGTGGCTCCTGGGCCCAGTGCCCAAATGTGGCCCCAATGCCCACCCCTCCCAGACCAGGCATTGAGAGCACCCATGTGGGCTCTGGGGTTCACTCCGATGTTTTCCAGGTGCTCGGCTTCGCTGCTTTCTTTGCGCTGGTCTTGAAGAAGGAGGAGGATGAGGAGGAGACTGCAGCCCCCCTGCTGGGGCATCTATCTGGTCCAGGTAATGGCGCCCTGGTGGGTGGACGCCCAGGTGGGTGGTCGTCCAGGTAGGTGGTCATCCAGGTGGATGGTCGTCCAGGTGAGGCTGAGCAAGCCCAGCCTCGGGCTCCCTGTCAGCCTTTCAGTCGGACTTGTGAGCCACCTCCAAGCCAGCCACAGGAAAGTGATTCCTTCATTGTCTCCTGAGCAACTGCTATGGGTTTCCCAAAGGTTCATGCATTAGAAACTTGCCCCCCACTGTGACAATGTTAAGAGGGTGGGAAATCCTATTATGGGAATTGAAAGGTGGGGCCTCTAGGAGGTGATTAGATTATAAGGACCCTGCCCTCATGAATGGCTTGATCCATTCATGGAGCCATGGTTCTGATGGCTTTAAAAGGAGAGTGGGCGAGGAGTTAGCTCTCTCTTGCTCAGCCAGTTGCCATGTGACACCTGCATTAGTGTAAAGAGCCACCACCAACAAGGCCTTCACCAGATGTGTTCCCTGGACTTTAGACTTCCCAGCCTCTGAAACTATAAGAAATAAATTCTATTTCTTCATAAATTACCCAGTTTCAGCTTAGCCGATTAGCTCAGTTGGTTCCAGTGCAGCCTTATATTGCCAAGGTCACGGGTTCAGATCCCCATATGGACCAGCCACCTAAAAAGAAAAAAAAAAAAAAGAAAATTACCCACATTCAAATATTCTCTTATAAGCAACAGAAATGGGCTAATACAGCAGCCTTTTCCTTCCCTCCTGGCCTGTCTCTCTAACACCCAAGCATAACCCTGCAGCTAGCAGAGGCGCCCTGAGGACGCAGCTCTCTGCTCTGGCTGGCCTTCTCTGTGTAATCCCGACCAAGTGGCTTCTCTGAGACTCAGGTCCTGGGGATTTAGAATGAAAAGCAGAAAAAGAATCAGCTTGTAGGTGGGTTGCAATGAGTGACTGTCAGTTAGACTTCTAGAACAAAGGTCTGTAGACTACAGCCAGTGGGACAAATCTAGGCCACCACCTGTTTTTGTAAATGAAGGTTTCTTGGAACACTGCCATGCTGACCCCTGTTCTGGGAGGCCACTGGCCAGTCTCTTCCTCCCAACCTGACTTCTCACTTCCAAACAAAAACTCCTGAGGATGCTGATATTAAGATATATACAAAAACAAAAAAGCAAACAAAGCAGAATCAACGACAAAATTGATGCAGAGGTCCTGACTTTCAGGGAAAATAAAACAGGAACAAACAAACAAGAGCCCCTGTACACCCATCATTAGACAGTGAGGTTCTGCTTCCTGGGCCTGTATTCTTCCATTCTAGATAGGGTTTTGGCTTTGCAGATCCAAAAAGTCCATTAAAATCTTCTCTCAAGACAAAAGAGTAATTTTTCTCCAAAGAGATGCCAGCCACCAGACCAATTAAATATTCATTCACTTGGTCCTTTGGCAATTCTTCAGGGAGTCCTGGGCTGTGTGCCAGGCAGCGTGATGGCTTGGGAACATCGCTGGCATAAAATTCACCCATTGTAAGTACACAGTTAGTTGATTTCAGTAAATTTATAGGGTTATGCAGCTGTCACTGCAATTCAGATTTAGAAGAGCTTCATCACCACGAGAGGTTCTCTTTCCCATTTGAAGTCAATTTCTCCTCCTTCCACCCCCAACCCCACCCCAGCCAACACAGCATTGACTGGCTGGAACTGGTTGCTAGCCTTGAAGTGAACAGCCCACCTGAGGAGCAAGTAAATGCACAAGTAGACAAATAAGTGTGAATTGAGATGGGAAGTAGGGTTGGTGAAGAACAGGAGAGCGCAGGCCTCTCTGCTGAGGCGGAATCTAAGCTGTCTCCTAAGGGATGGGGGTGGGGGACTGCACACTAGGCAGGCGCAAAGGCCCTGAGGTGGGAAAGAACTTGTCATTGTATAGCAAGCAGTGAGTGCGTGGCTGGAGCGTGGTGAGTCGGGGTGGGGGAGAGTGGCAGGAAATGAGGGTAGAGAGGTGGGTTGCGCAGTGCCTTGAAGGGGCTGGGGCAATGCTGGGGTTTTGGAAGGTGTTGAGTCGGAGAGTGGCATGATACCTGAGGTATTGGGTCAAAAGTGGAAATGGAGGGGTCAGTAGGGCGGCTATTGTAAGGGTCCAGGCTAGAGATAACAGATGCTGTTGGTTGGGTGGACATAGGGCATGGATCCAAAAGCTAGTTAGATCAATTCGCACCTGTCGGAATGGCTGACATGAGAAATTGAGAAATAGTAATGCACCAAACACTGGCAGGGATGGGAGCTGCCAGAGCACTTGTGCACTGCTGGTGGGAATGGTACAGCCGCT